GTGCATCACTTTGTGATACCTAAGGTGCCTAAAGTGGATATGCGCTTTTGTAACTTTGCACATTATAAAATAGTAGTCGTTATTTTAGTCTATCCTATTAATCCAGGTGGCCATCTTGCATTATCAAACTGCTCAACAAGTGTGATAACAGCACATGATACATTGCAGGCCTCGAATTAAGCGACGAGAGGGGCAAGGCAATTTTTTAGGGGCATGTGAGAAATTGCCTTGAATTTTCTCTAAATAGTAGTAAAATGGATGGGCACCGAGGCAATTTTAAAAGGCATCAAGGCAACTCTCACAATTTGAGAAGGGCACCAAGGCACTTTTGTAAATTAAAGGAAAACTCATAACAAATTAATACAATTTTTACCGTGTATGTACAGACCGTCTCCCGCCCACATGTACATCGTCTTCCGCCCCCATGTAAGCTTACACCGTAACACCGACCCCTGTACCACCCTCTGCTAATGGAAGTACAGTAACAGGGTTCAACATTTACTTTTTATTTCACTAGACCATCGGGCTAGTAACTGAGGAAAACCACTAGCCCTGACCTAACTTTCGCTAGCCCAGACCCAGACCATTGTTATGAAAAACTTTGTGTCATCGTATGAATTCTACTAACATTTTTCTAAATTTACTGCACTTAGCAAGCTACACACCGTACAGATCACAGCTGGCCATTCTTGCGCGAGCGTCGTTTCCCGCGCTTTAAATCGCGCGCAGGCCAAGTTCACGTGCAGTATTTAAATATTCGTGTTTTACAACGGGCATACACAGGCGCAGTGGCACACGATTTATCGATCGTCTACTGGCAGCGGTTGGCAGCAAGCCACGTTATTGTTTTTGCCGAAGGGTAGACTGGAATCCGGCCTCACGCTCTGCTAGACAATGTACACGCTCTGCGACAAACAGTGCGGCCGCGAACCAGTCTAGCCAGAGGCACCGACGGCAATTACAGAAAAGGGCAAGGCAGGTCACTGCCGTCGGTCGGGTTGGATTTTCAAGGGCAGTACGGCGATTGATAGGGGCACCGACGGCAATTGCCGTCGGTGCTGTCGGTTAATTCGAGCCCTGATACATTGATACATTGCGTTAGATATCATTATGGCTCTAATACTATAGCCCGCGTACAGTTGCCGCAGGCAACAGGCCACAGGCCTGCGTCAACTGTATGCGGGCTATAGAGTATAGTACTAGAGCTAATATCATTATTGCATCTCCCCCCCCCCAAATAGACAATTAAAAAAGGCAGTGGCTGGAGGTACGGCAGCCGTATCTCCAAGTTACGAGGCTGGAGGTACGGCAGTCTATTCGCTTTCATACAAACGAGCCAAATATGGCGGCGCCCAATTAATTCAGATTTCGAAATAATGCATTGGGAAATAAATTCACGATTTGAGAGTTTTTATGAGCTAGAAAACACTCGGATTAGGTATGAAAATGAACATTATTGTAAACTTTACATCAGAAGATTGCAAATAATTGCCTCAGCCCTCAAATAAATGCCAAAAAGGGGCTTCAACGAACGACGGCTGCCGTACCTCCAGCTACTTCCTTAAAAAAACTACTTCAAATGATTTTCAGTTACACACTTCAGCTGCAATTAGTTATTAAGTCGTTATTAATTAGTGTTTAGTTCGTTAGACATCTTCGTTACGCTTCAGTCGCTCCCGGCTACAATGCCGAAGAGGAAATCGTCTGCACCTGCGAGGGCGTCTCTAGGGAAGCGACAGGCGATGTCGTGGAACCTGCACATAGCAGCCGGCACCGGCGCAGCCGCCACCCAGCCTGCTGACCTCATCGTCATCGACGACAGCGATGACGACGGTCTCCCCGGCGACGACGGTCTCCCCGGCGACGACCGCTGCCAGCCGCTAGTCAGGAAGGAGCAGACGACGGTTGCCTGGGATAAATCGCAGCAGACGACGGTTGCCTGGGATAAATCGCTGCAGATGCCGGTTGCCGGGGATAAATCGCAGCAGATGACGGTTGCTGGGGATAAATCGCAGCAGATGACAGTTGCCAGGGATAAATTTGCCGGGGCGCAGCAGACAAGGGATGAGCACTGCACGCCTCTACAGGGAAACTTCCCAACATTCGACGAGCTCCTGGGTGAATGCTCTTTCTACGTGAAGCTGACCATAGAGGGCAGCACCGCGCTGCCGTACCGCATCGGTAGCTTCTCGCTGCGGCTGTTGTCATGGCGACCGGGCGCGTCTGCGCGTGTGTGCATGGGCGAGATGTGGCTGTATGTTAATGAGGGAGACTCCACACGCTGCATGCTGTACGGTGAGGGTGACCACGCGGGGGCGCCACCGTGGTACCACGTCGCGGAGCTGCCGTCGGCTCCCGCTGACCTCGTCGCCGTGACAACGAGCATGCCCGCTGACCTCTTCGCCGGCTTCCGCGCGCAGCGCAGCCCCACGCTGAGTGTCGTTGCCGTCGACGACGCGACGGGCATGCTCGTTGTCACGACGACGGTGAGCGATGCGGCGTTTGTCCAACCCAGCTTCCCGAGCGAGGTCGTGGGTCGTGCGGGCGGGCCGGGGCCGTCGGCACGACGACGGGTCACCAATCACCTGCTGCGGCTGGACTGCGAAGGTAGGTGTACGTTCTATTGTTTCGCATGGCGTAATGTTGTTGGTACATGTGCCGATTGCTTAATTCAAGGCTATGTATGATTCAAGCCTTGTTACATAACTCATGTTCTCAAGGCTTGCATTCAGATGCTATTGATACACCTGTGAACGTATTTTAATATATGCGTGCAATAAAAATCAATGGATTATTAATTATTATTATTAATTATCTTGACGGGCGGAGCAGCAGGCGTGCGTGCGTGCACGCGTGGGAGGCACGAAATTCAGATTTTTTTGCACCGGCCCAGAGGGCTGGTAACAGCAATTTTTTACCAGCCCTCACAAATTTTGTTTGTAAAATCAACGTGAATACTTCACGCTTGCATTCTCGATTTCAAATTTGTAAAATGTCGAAAAATAATGGCATGATAACCTTCAGGTAAAACAGTAATGTAGGCTATTTGCTCATTAATGCTATAAGTAAAAATGTAGGTACTCGCTAACACGGCTGAAACCACCGGCTCGGAGGGCCGGTGTTTTGCCAATGTTACCGGCCCTCCAAATAATTTGCCGGCATATGCCGGTGGGCCGGTGCTAATTTCGCGCCCTGGTATAATGTTCGGTTAGCTGTCACATTCTATAGCATTTAATACAATAATACCGTATAACTATAAGGTGTTACTTGAGCATACATGCTGCTGCTGCACATTTCACAGACTTTCTCGTGAACGCCCCGCGCAGCAGCAGACTCGATCTTACCTCCTTCTATGCACATCTGGACACCGAGCGACGAGGCACACTACAGTCTGAGAGCGTTGCCGTGGAAACGCAGCATCCCGCGCTGCGACCTGTACTGAGGAGCTACCAGCGCGATGCCGTGGCGTGGATGCTCAGCCGAGAGCGAAGTCTGGGAAACCAAGGATCGCAGGGACAGGGTTAGTCATGTCATGTCTGCATGTAGATATACATGTACAGGGTTCTCCAAGCTTTTTCATTATAGCATGGCGGGTGCTGCCTTTACGGTCCTAGTCGCAAATCGCTGAAGGCGGTTTGCGTGCTAGGGTGGTCCGGGGGCTAGGATGCGGGGGCTGGTGCGGGCCGCCAGGCTATGACTGCTCTTTGAGAACCCTGATGTATGCATGCGTGAGTGCATGCATGTGTGTGTGCGTGCATGTGAATGGGTGCATGTGAATGGGTGCATGTGCGTGGGTGTATGTGCGTGGGTGCATGTGCGTGGGTGCGCATACATATATGACATCAGTGACTGTAGTAGATTAATTCTCATAAATTTAATTCATGTCATTTTGGCATGTCACTTGTCATATGTTATTGTTACATGCATTTAGAACTTTAAACCACTGACTCCCTTGTTCTGATGCTGTCTCCCTTGCATTGATGCTTGTCTTGATCAAATCAGATGATCGCTATGGTGACGTACTTTCTCGTAGGTGATGTTCCGCCTCCGCTTCATCCGCTTTACACGGAGGTCACGACCTTAGATGGGCGCCGGATCTTCTATAACAAGTACATAGGCTGGTCAGTGCTTGCTGCAGTTGTTTAGCTTTTCGTATTTACTATGTATTGATTATTGATTACATAAGTGTTTAACACGTGTTTACCTCGCACCTGAGACACGTGTTTACCTAATGTGCACAATCCACTAACTTGCACTAATGTACACAATGCACTAACATTCACTAATGTACAACGACATCCATTCACAGGTTTGTGAAGGAGAGACCCGTCACGATAGCAGAGACCCCTGGTGGCATCCTGGCTGATGAGATGGGTCTGGGTAAGACTGTGGAGGTGCTAGCCTGCATCCTGCTGCACCCCCGTGTAAACCAGGGCCACGCCCCGCTCACGGATGCAGCCTCGCTAACGAACCACGCCCCGCTCACGGATGCAGCCTCGCTAACGAACCACGCCCCGCTCACGGATGCTGCCTCGCTAACGAACCACACGCCAACCAACGATGCAGCCAACATTCGAAAGGAAAAAATAACAGACGGTAAGCTATATGTATATATATGTATATGCTATATGTATATATGTCAGGGTCCGCACGGGCATGGAAATGTCCTGGAATTTGATACGACTCCTTGTAAACTCCTTGAATTTTAAAATATTATGTTTTATACTGGAATTGTCCTGGAAAAGTTGTTATTGTCTTGGAAAAGTACTCAAAACTACTGGAATTTATAAAATAAGAAATATAAAGCAATAAATATGTAATTATGTGTAATGTAAATATGTATAAGTTTATAAGATGTACATGTTTTTAATCTCCTTAACCTCATCATAATGAATACCTTTCACAGTTAATCTCTGTTTTTTTCTGAATCAGAAGTTTTCATGTCTTCTAATTCCATGTAATCTATCTTTTCAAGCTGTGCTAAGTCTGAAAACACTCAATTTTATTAAGTTAAGCTAGAATTTTAGTACTTGAAAAATAAAAATTGTCCTTGAAATGTCCTGAAAAACTCCTTGAATTTTGTCTTGACTTATCTGTATGGACCCTGATGTGTATATATGCATATATATCAGGAGTAGATAATAGGGAGGAGTGTGACATCAATAAACAAGGTAAATTCGTCATTTACTAGCTTTATAATACCTACGATTTACTACGCGTAACGCAACCAACTTGAGCTCAAATCGTACACAGTACATCCTCTTCCCATCGTGTGAAATCGTTTCCTAGTATACACCCTCAATCCGGAGATACAGACTAAAACGTACCACACGATTTTCAGTTCTGTTGCCAGCAAAATCCATGTGGCGAATAAGCTATTTGAAACAAAAGGCAGCTACTAACCACACTGTCCACGGCTTGTGCTCACGGCGAGGCGCTGTGGCTCGCAGGGAGATTGGACATCGACGCAACACTCGGCGAGCTAACCTTTGCTTTGACCTATTACAGCTGTATGCACCCCCCACCGCAATCAGCAGCAGCTCTGCAGCTCAGCGGCAGCGTGTATAACCTACCGCACCATAGCACATCATGAGTCTATCAATAAACAGTAATCTTGTTGTTAGACTCCTGCTCACGTGCAATCTCCCTGCGAGCCACAGCGCCTCGCCGTGAGCGCAAGCCGTGGACAGTGTGGTTAGTAGCTGCCTTTTGTTTCAAATAGCTTCCTCGCCACATGGATTTTGCTGGCAACAGAATTGAAAATCGTGTGGTACGTTTTAGTCTGTATCTCCGGATTGAGGGTGTATACTAGGAAACGATTTCACACGACGATGGAAGAGATGTACTGTGTACGATTTGAGCTCATGTTGGTTGCGTTACGCGTAGTAAATCGTAGGTATTATAAGGCTAGTAAATGACGAATTTCCCTTGTTTATTGATGTCACACTCCTCCCTATTATCTACTCCTGATATATATGCATATTTTATAGAGGCATCCTTATTGTAAATATATGCATTCTTACCTGACAGCTCCATCATGCAATACTGCCGACGTGTGTATACCTGAGACACGTGTTTACCTCGTACCTGAGACACGTGTTTACCTCGCACCTGAGACACGTGTTTTACCTCGCACGACTGAGACACGTGTTAGACCGTCGCACGCTGAGACACGTGTTTACCTCGCACCTGAGAATCACGTGTTTACCTCGCACCTGGAGACACGTGTTTTACCTCGTACCTGAGCACACGTGTTTTACCTCGCACCTAAGATCACGCTGTTTACGCTCGTACCTGAGTACACGTGTTTTACCTCGACCTGAGACACGTGTTTGCCTCGCACGATGAGACACGTGGTTTACGCTTGCACCTGAGAACGTGTTTACCGTCGGTACCTGAGACACGATGTTTATCTTGCACGCTGAGACTACGTGTTTACCATTCGTACGAGCTGAACACGTGTTGCCTCGCACCCTGAGACACTTGTTTACCTCGTACCTGAGACACGTGTTTACCTGCACCTGAGACAGTGTTTACCTCGCACCTGAGACATCGTGTTTACCGCTCGTACCTAGAGCACGTGGTTTACCTCTAGTACCTGAGACACGTGTTACGCTCGTACCTGAGACGGCCCACAACAAACTGCGGCACGGCGCTACGTGTTTACCTCGTACCTGAGGACACGTGTTTTACTGACTCGGGTACCTGAGACACGTGTTTACCTTGCACCGTGAGACACGTGTTTACGCTCGTAGCCTGCGAGGACATCGTGTTTGCCTCGCACCTGAGACTACGTGTGTTACCTCGTACTGAGACACGTGATTTACCTTGCACCTGGGACACGTGTTTACCTCGCACAACTGAGACACGGTGTTTTTACCTCGTACCTCGAGACACTGCTGTTTACCTTCGCACGCTGAGACACGTTGTTTAAGCCTTCGTACCTGAAGACATTGTTTACCGTCGCACTACTGAGGCCACGTGTTTTACCTACGTACCTGAGACACGTGGTTTACCTCGTACCTGGAGCACGTGTTTACCTCGTACCTGAGACACGTGTTTGCCTCGTACCTGAGACACGTGTTTACCTCGCACCTGAGACACGTGTTTACCTCGTACCTGAGACACGTGTTTACCTCGCACCTGAGACACGTGTTTACCTCGTACCTGAGATACGTGTTTACCTCGTACCTGAGACACGTGTTTGCCTCGTACCTAAGACACGTAAGCCGTAGCAGGGATGCTTGTCTCTCTCCTGCCCCACGCGGTGCGCGTACGCTCGTCTCCTGTAACCACGGTAACGCCTCTCTCTCTCACAGCTGGAGGCTGCGGCTCGGTTGCTGTCGACGATGCCGTGGCAGACGTCGTGGCTCGGCTTAAGGAGGCCGTCGCAAACCTGATCCCGAACGGATGCACGAAGTCACGTGACGCACAGCACAATCCTCTCTCGAGCAGCAGTTGTCATGACAACAGACAAATGGAAGAAGAGGGTTCGTTGAAGTCGTTCGATGTACCGAATGCCAAAGTGTCCAATCAGAAGAGAGGAAACTCACAGCGACCCGAGAAATGTGCTGTTACTATGAAAACTGAGAAAACCGAAGAGAACAGAGTCAAGGAGGAAGCTGGAAATCTAGTGGGAAAACCGACAAGTAAAAAAATGCAGACTGATCTAGAAAACAATCAGAGAAAAGTGCTAGGCAATTTCTTCAAAACAAACCCCATCGGTATGTTGTGGCTCCCTCTATGAGAAAAACCTAGTCATTTATTACAACAACAGTTGTTCTGTAATTCTTTCTATACGTTAAATCCTGTAATTATACATACAGGCGTGTGGGTGCATGAGTGTAATAGTCAGCAAGTGCGTGTATGTGTGTACGTGCGTGTGCGTGTGCGTGCGTGCGCAGGTGCGTGCGTACTTACATTTGCATTTATTTGGTAGCTACACTCATGTGACCACTGCGTGTTTATGTTTTAGGTGAGAAACCCTACTTTGAGTGTACGTGTGGAGGGCAGGAGGCGGGGGAGGCGGCCGCTGTGCAGTGTGGCAGGTGTGGACTATGGCAGCATGCAGACTGTGTGAACTACGATGCGAGCCTGATGGGAGCGAGGGTTATGATAGAGGGAGTTGTGTTATAACTCACCATGTTGACGGTGCAGTGAGGGCAGTAGTAGTCCTGCTGCTGCGTGGGTAAGTGTTACCTACCCACGCAGCAGCAGCAGGACTACTACTGCCCCCACTGCACCGTCAACATGGTGAGTTATAACACAACTCCCTCTATCATAACCCTCGCTCCCATCNTATATATATATATATATATATATAGATAGATAGATAGATAGATGGATGCGATTTTGTTTAATGCGTTTTTGGAATAATGCATACGGTTCTCGGTGCTAGGATAACAGTATTTGCTGCCGATATTCCATCTGATTTTCACGTGTTCTGGTAGACGTATACTGAGTATTTATAGGCCTACTGGTATAATATTGGAAAACTTCCCATTAATTACTGAGCCATTTTTTGAACAGTATTCTCTTTAGAAGTATTTGACGTTGCGTATACTACAGTAATTATTGTGCTGTCATTGTCAGTATCTATGTCAAGTGTACTTGGAATCGTGCAATATCGCGTTTTACTTGTACGTATATATATAAAATTGAGTTTATATTCTTGTGATTAGTATAAGTCCACGAGCATGCGTAGTAGCAATCGTGCAATCTCGCGTTTTACTTGTACGCATTCTTATAGTGTTGAGTTTATATTTTTGTGATTAGTGTAAGTCCACGAGCATGCGCAGTTGCATGCGCGTCGTCCGTACATATGGTTTATAATAAAATGCAACGTTAACGCGTAAATGTTGGAGGATGGGTTCTTCAATTTTATATGATGATGTAGCTGAAAAAAGCTGCAACACAATATTGCATGTTAGTAAATCGTCGTAGTTTTCAGTAAAGCAGGTAATAGCTGCTATGGACACTACTTGCCGTGAACCCCACTGGTCAGCTTGCGGCAAGCCATGTCGGGGAATAGAACACGGGGAGAAGGCAAGACCTCACCACAGGCTACTGCGCCCCCCACTATCCAGAAAAAACGACATGTTCCTTATATAGGCGCCAGGAAATGCAATTTAGGAATAGAGATCTCAGGCAGAAGAAATTAAGTCCCGAGAATTAGCCACCCAAGTTCGATGAGATGTTTTTTGGCTGCATGTAGGCGTGTATCACGCCGACCTAGTGCTCTACCCGCAGACAAGCTTAAGANGATTGTGTGTTTTGTATGGTCGCGTGTTGGGGGTAGGCTGTGTGTGTGTGCGTGCGTGTGTGTGCGTGCGTGCGCGAGCGCATGTGTGTGCATATATCTTTAGTTGTAGTCTAACACATTGACGAACGTCACGACTAGGACTGTAATCGATTCCAACACCATCGATGTATCGCGATGGATTGCGTGCGATACGATGTATCAATACCGAAAAAAATTCCAGAATATAAACGATCCGATACAATACTATTAGTAAAAACCGTTTTGCTGTAGTGTTGTTACCTTACACCTCATAGGTTATTCTGCTGAAATATGAGAGGGTATTCTTTACTGCAGGGCAGGTGGTGTTTTTAACCCGGGGGAGGGAGAGTTTGGTGCCTGACAATACCAACATATTGGTTTTTCTTTACACTAACTGTACAAAGTATAGAAGTATAGCGCTGCCTCAGAGGAGACATATTGTGAACTAACTTCATAATGTGGACTATCGATTAGTGGAGCTGTATCTTTAGTTTTTAGCTCACCTTGACATCGTCAAGATGGGCTATTGCCATGTGGCGTTGTCCGTCGTACGTCCGTCCGTCCGTCCGTCAACATTTGGCTACGGCAACGATAACTTCAGAACCGTTTGACCCACATGTTTCAAATTGCATACAATTGTTACTCCTATGGGAGAGGTGTGAATGTCCTATTTTGGGGCCAGTTAGTCCCGGTTGACCTACTTTCGAGCCACGCCCACTTTTTGGCAAAAATAGAAATGGCCTTAAGTCAGTTCAGGTTCAACGGATTTTGCTCATTTTTGGTATGTGAATGAATAACGACTGGCCCCAAAAGTTATCACAGGGGTTTGATTATTTTTTTTAATTATGCAAATTAGGTCTATTTTGGCAATTTCACTATGCATTTCAGTGTCTGCCTACGGTCAACGATAACTCAAGAACCGTTTGACCCACATGTTTC